ATTGCCCCGCCGCCGCCGCCGCCGCCACCGCTCCGCACCCCGCGGGACCCCCGGGATGGGACGGACTCCGGCCCCGCCGCTGGAGCCCCACGGCGAGGGGCGCCCCCGGGCACACGGGAACCCCGGGCCAAGAGGGACCGCCAGGACAGGTGGGACCACCGGGACGGATGGGACCCCCAGGGCAGACAGGACCCCTGGGTGCAGCAGGAGTACCACACCAAGGGGTCTCCTGGGTCAGGACGGTCCCCTGCCCCACAGCTGGAGCCCCAGGCCGAGAGGCACCCCCGGGCACACAGGACCTCCCGGGCACAACCGGCATCCCAGGCCAAGAGGGACCACCGGGACAGATGGGACCCCCAGGGCAGACAGGACCCCTGGGCGCAGCAGGAGCACCACACTGAGTGGGACCCCTGGGCCAGAACGGACCCCTGCCCCACAGCTAGACCCCCAAGCCAAGAGGCACCCCCAGGACAGATGGGACCATAGGGACATATAGGACCCCCGGGGCAGACAGGACCCCTGGGTGCAGCAGGAGCACCACACCGAGTGGGACCCCTGGGCCGGGATGGGCCCCTGCCCCACAGCTGGAGCCCCAAGCCGAGAGGCACCCCCAGGCCAAAAAGGACCCCCAGGACAGATGGGACCACCAGGACAGATGGGACCCGCAGGGCAGACAGGACCCCTGGGTGCAGTGGGAGCATCGTGCCGAGTGGGACCCCCAGAGCAGATGGGAGCCCTGGGTGAAGTGGGGCCCCGGGATGAAGGGGACCCTCAGGCCGGGAAGGACTTTGGGACAAATGGCACCCCCGGGCAGGGCAGGACTCCGGGGCCAAGTGGGACCCGCAGACCAAGCGGGGACCCCCACTCTGAGATCAGCCCAGGGCTGGCACGAGCCCCGGTTGCCATGGGCTCCAGACTGAGCAGGACCCCCAGGCCAGGAGGGACCCCCAACCTGCGCTGGCTGTGCGTGGGGTTGTGCTCGGCCGGGCACCCGCCCTCCGCACCCACCGCAGCCTCGGGCGCCAGCTCCCCCGCTGTCCTGGGGAACCACCCCCCGTGTCCACCCCGCGCGTGTTGCTGACCGTGGGACATCCCCTCTGGTGGCATTCCCTTTGGCGAGTCCCACGCACAGCTGACCCGGTCCCTGCAGCGCTGCAGCCCCTCACGCCGGGCGGTCCCTCTGCGCACAGCGCTATCCGCACCCTCCTCCCCCTCCCACCCTCCACCTCTCATTAGGGCATCTCGTGAGAGCACAGCCGCTCGCGGATGTCACGCGTGGGAGAGAAGAGAACCCAGTTTCTCCATGTATTTTGGTTCCCCTCACTCTTCGATCCCTCTCCTCCGTCCTGGCCCTGCGTGCTGTGCCCAGCAGGGCAAAACTGGGAAAACTGGGCACTGGTGGCAGCGGGAGCCTGTGCAGGGCAGGGAGGGCCCTGGTGCTCCCCGTGTCCCGGGGGCTCCCCGCAGCCGGGTGGGCCGGACACCACGGTGATGGGCATGCGTGAGACCGGCTTTGGCTGCGAAGGCGGCGCGTGGATCCTGCTGCTCGCGGGCAGCTGCCTGCCCACCCCGGCCCCAAGCGTGACCGAGCCCCTGCAGACAGGGGGGGCATCAGGAAAACCGTGTTAATTAGCTTTGTTTCCGCTGAAAATGCTGGCAGATCTCCAAGGAATTCAGTGAGGTCACGGGTTGCCATGGCAACAGGAGGGAACAGGCTGGAATTGGGAAGGGTGCTGGTGTTTCCAGGATGGAGCTGCTGGGCCTGGGCACTCGCTGGGATGGGGACGCGCGCCCTTCACTGCCCCGAGGGACGCAGCCCGAGCCCCGACCGGGAGAGCGGGGCCACACTCTGCCCTGCGCACCCTGCGTCCACCCGCCCCTCCGGCTGGCACGTGGGCTGCCATCCTCCCGGCTGGATGCATCTGCTGTTCCCCAAATTGCAAGCGGGTATTTGGCTCTAGGACTCTCCCCGCTGGCATGGCGCTCTCTCCTCCTCAGCCAGCGCTCACCCCTTTTCCGTTCTTCCAGCCCGATCGGTGCGGTCCCACATCCCGAATCACCACCGCAGCCTCTGCTTGGGGCAAAGGATGGGGGAAAGCACACAGCAGAAGGTGCTCCCTGTGACTGGCCCATCCTGCCACCCGAGCGCTGATCCACACTAACCCCCGGAGAAGAAGCAGAGACCTTCTCTGTCCCCTCCGCCTCTCTGCGGATTAGCCAGAGCCGAGCAGGCAGCGGCGGGCAGAGCTGGGGGGTGATGGCCGTGGCTGCGGGGCTGAGCCTTCCCACAGCTCCTCGTCACAGGGAGCGCGCTCTGGGCAGTGCTGCCCGCTTGTGCGGCAGGGACCGTCGGGCAGGACCTGCTGCCTCTGAAATGGTGCAGTTGCACAAGGAAGAACACCCTTCTGGGAAGCCTGCAAAATCTGGGATCAAATAATAACTTGGACGTTAGCGCTGCCGGTAATTCCTATACTGGGCGACAGTGATGGAAAGGAAGAAGGTACCCCGTGAAAATGCGCGTGCAGCAGCCCGGCAGCAGGGCAGCGTGCGGAGCTGGGCGTCCATGCCAGCCCTGCCCCGCTCAGGGGGGACCATACCGCACCGCACGCAGCTGATGCTCTGGGGCCGGCTCCTCTCCCTGTGCAGCCTGCTCCCGGTCTGGAAGAACTGGAGTGCGAAGCAGAGCAGGAGACAAAAAGCCACCTCATGCCCCGGGAGCAGCTGAACCCCCTGCTCGGCCGTGGGGCCGTGCCCAGGGACACGGTGTGCCCGCTGCCGTGGGATGAAGGTCCTCGTTGCCCTCCGCTGCTGCGCCGGTGCGAGCAGGCTGCCACGGGGCCAGCAGCGCTTACGGCACTGGGGACGAGCGGCATTTAGCTGTGGTGGAGTCTGTTCCAGATGGGGCAGCTGGACTCTGGTCCCCCGATAAGCGTCAGTTTAGCTCACACTCCCCTTAGGTGATATGGAGGGTAATGGAAAAAATAGCCGTCAGCTCGCAAGGCTCGAGCAAATACGGAAACTTTGATTTGTAAAACAAAGGGAGGTTTATTTTTTGCATGTGACGTTTGCTTTGATCGATTCTAAGGCGTTTGCAGCGTGACCCTTCTGCTCTGGGGAAGCAGAGGTGAACCCTTCGTCACTTCTCCCGGGTGCCACCGCACAGGAGGGCCAGAGCCGCTGCTGCCGGCTGCCCTGAGACAGGGAGCGTGTCCCGAGTAGAGACTGCCCCGGGGTCCCAAGTAGTTTAATTACAGTGGTTTCGTCTCTCTTCATTTGAATGTTTAATAAAGATCGCAGCAGCTCTGCGGGCATCCCGTGCAAAGCCGAGACCTGAGCCTGAGCAGAACTGTGTGCAGCAGCAGCAGTTCCTGCAGCAGCACCCCGGGGCGCGGGGCCCGCGCGCGAGGGAGAGCCGGGACGCTGGCAGCGCTGCTCGGGAGCCGTGGGCAGGGCAGGACACCGGGGGGCCCACCGGGAGCAAGGGAGCC